TACACACAAAAAAATAGATAAATGGAGAAAAAATCCTGCTTAGCAAGCGGGTCACAGGAAGCCTAGACCAGACCAGGGACCTCAGATTTCCTTAGACAGAGGTTCCACAATTACCAGTTTTCACTCAAGTTTGTGTTTAGGGCCTTCCTACCAACTTCAGGTGGTTTGTCCAGGTGTGATTCCAGCCACCCAGTGACACTGAGAAGGGTGCTGGCAATTGCAGTTTTCTCTGCCCCTTCACAACATCAGCCAAGTCTTCTTGCCCCTCAAGCCTGATCCCCCAGGAACCCGTCCAGGGGAAGCAGGTGAAGGCTCCGGGTGACCTGTCTGTGGGCACTGACTGCGTCAGGCACTTGTTCCTCACAACGGCCCTGTGAGGTCGGCAGTGTTTTCATCCTGCTTTTTCGTGGGAGGGGATGGAGACTCAGGAAGAGCAGGCGGAGGCTTGGCTCCTCAGAGGCTGACTCTGACACAGGAAGGCAAGTAGCTCACTTGGGAGGTGGTCCCAGGAACACGGTGGGGGTGGGGAAGTGAGGCAGGGAAGGGAGGAGGCCAACAAAGAGTGCATTAGTGAGAGCTGTGGGCAGTCACCATGCAGTCACTGTGCAGCCCACCCCTCCCAGTCATCCCATGGAGAGGATGAGAGGCAAGGGCGTCTGGGCATTTCCCACCCATGTCTGTCAGTCATTAGTTCAGGGCCGAACTCCCCAGAACCTCCGTCCATCCCACAGGAGCCAAGAGGAAAACTCTAGCTGGACACCAGTGCAGCATTTACAGGGATGGCGCAGATGGGGAGGAGGTGCCTGGTAAGAGGATGCACAGAATGAGAGCTCAGAGCTGCAGGAAGAGGGCCAGTACCAGCGACAGGGACCGGGGAGAGTTCAAGGAAGCTGGCTCCAGCATCCCACAGGGCACGGGGCCAGGACGGAACCATGGCTTGGGGAGCGCTGGTGACTTCCTATAGTGAGAGCTTAGGGTTTCTGCACGGAGTGATTGAGGCCTTCAAGAAGCGAGTGCATGTGTGTGTAAGCACATTGGGAGGAGACCAGGGTGGGCCTCAGTGTAGAAACCTGAGACATAGTTTCCACCCAGGGCCCCCAAAATGCAGTATTCACAATGAAAGATATGTTTGAATTCAATCAAATTAGAAGTCAGTCATGGAGACACAAATGCTAACACTTGGGCATCTACACACCAAGAAGTTCTCAGTAACCTATTGCATTGACAAAGATCAAAAAGCTTTATAACACAGGAGAGAGTGAAGGGGTAGGGACACGGGCACATTGCGATAGGTGTATCAAGTGGTACAGATCCTGTGGAGAGCCATTTGGTGACACTGGTGAAAATTCTGAAGACACTCCTGCTCCCAGCATGTCTACTTGTGGGAGTTTACACTAAACATGCACAGGGCATGGGCGAGATGGCACCTGCTAAGGTGACCGCTGCATGCTGCAAGCAACACCCACCCATGGGCTCTAAAATGAGTTCACCAGAGAATGATGAGAAGCAGGATATTTGCAAAGTCTCAACATATCCCCCCCACACAAGGTACTCATTAATTACAAAAGAAAAAGAGTGAAGCAGAGAAGCCTGGCAGACACTACCTCCACCAGGTGATCAAGACTAATACTACCAGCAATGAGACACATCTCCATGTACCTCCAACATGATGCACCGAGAAGGACACAATGTCACTTCTGTGGTTTTCTTGCCAAAAATGCATACCCTCAGCCTCACCATGAGAAAACATCAGACGAACCCAAAATCCGACAAAACAACTGACCAGTACTCTTCAAGTGTTAAAGTTATGAAAAGTAAAGAAAGGCTGAGAAAGCTTCCCAGATTAGGGTAGATTAAGGAGACATGACAACTAAATGAAATGCGGATCCTGAATTGGATTGTGGATCAAAAAAGGACATTAATGGGGGGGTGGAGATTATAACAAAAGATACTCCTGTCACTCAGGAAATTACAAGGGTTTTAGGCAAGAGTGTGGGGCAACAGGAACTCTCATTTGTCGCTGGTGCGAAATGGTGCAGCCACTTTGGAAAGCAGTTTGATGTTTCTTACAAAACTAGACATACTCTTGCTGCATGATCCAGAAATTTTTACTTGGTATTTACCCAAAAGAGTTGAAAAGTTATGTCCACACAAAAGCCTACACATAGATGTTTGTAGCAGTTTATTCTTAATTGCCAAAAACTTGAAGTGACCAAGTTGTCCTCCAGTAGGTGAACAGGTAAATAAACTATGGTACATCCAGACAATGGAATACTATTCCGTGCTAAAAAGAAATGAGCTATCAAGCCATGAAAAGGCATGGAGAAAACTTAACTGCATATTACTAAGAAAAAGAAGCTAGTCTGAAAAGTATATGATTCCAACTATAGAACATTCTGGAAAAGGCACATTATAGAGACAGTAAAAGGGTCAGTAGTTGTCAAGGCTTCCAGGGGAAAGGAAGGATGACTAGGAAGAGTACAGAGGATGTTTAGGGCAGTGAAACTACTCTATATGATAATATAATGGTGGATTCATGACATCATAACTTTGTTTGGTTTTTTTTTTCTTTTTTTGTCTTTTTTCGTGACCGGCAACGGATCACAACCCTCAGTGTCACGCCCGTACCGGACCGGGACCGGCAATGGGATCGCAACCCTCGGTGTTGCTCCTGCACCTCGCTCAGCCAGTGAGCGGCCGGTCTGTATGTGGGATCCGAACCCTTGGCGGGAGTGCCACCGCGCTCCCAAGCAGCGCACTGTAGCAGTGCGCCACTGGGCCAGCCCCCATAACTTTGTTTAAACCCACAGAATGTCCAGCACCAAGAGTGAACCCTAATGCAAACTATGGACTTTGGGTGATAATGATGTATTGATGTAGGTTCACTGATTGTAACAAATGTTCCACTCTGATGAGGGATGAATAATGGGGAGGCAAAGGTTTATGGGAACTCTCTGTATTTTCCATTCAATTTTTCTGTGAATCTAAAACTTTTCTAAAAAAGAAGTCTATTAAAAAAAAAAGAGAGAGACATATATATGGGAAGAATGGGAAAGGAGAGCACAGCAGTGACATTTTGCAAGTGGGAACCCAATGTACAAGTGGGAACTGAGTCAGCAGATCCAAGAAAGCCAGCCCAGAACTATCCAGACCTACAACGCCTAGTCTTCAAAGGCGCCGACTGTGTCAGTATCTGCTGCCTCTGCAACCACAGGTGGAAGAAGTGGCTTTATGTGCAGCCAGATCCCTGAATCCCCTCCCTCACACCATACTTCTGGCCAACTACCCTAGCCTGCCCTGGCTAAAGTCTGGAGGTTTTTTTCTTCCTTCTCTCAAAAGGGAAAACACAGGGTCTATGGGCTGGGGGGACACCAAGCCTTGTCCAGGGCATGGTAGAGTTAGGTGACAACAGCCTTCAGACCCGGTCATGAATGCACAGGCCCACCTCACGGCCCTTACCCCAGTGAATTCCCAACTCAGTGCCAGAGCCCATTCCTCCAAGCAGGAGCCTGGAACACACCCCCTGCGGAGAGACCTAAAACTTCGAGTTATCTCACTGAGGTTTCCCAGAAGATGCATCTCGGATCACCAAGGCAACAAGGTCCTCCACTCAAAGAAGCTCAGGCTTCCTCCCATCAGCTCTTTGTCTCCCATGTGGAATCTCTGGCAACAGTCAAGCATTACAGGTGTCAAGGGAGCAGAGAGAAAAACAGAGCTGCCGCATCTGGACAGCACGCAGGCCCACCCTGGGCTCACCAGGCATGCTTCCCTCTGCCACACCTTCCGGCCAAGCCTTGGAGACCTGCCTGACTCCCCTGCTGTGGCACAGCCTCCATCCTCACTCTGGTTTTCTGGCTCCAGGCATGTGGTTTGTGGGTGCCACAGGGCCTAGTGCAGAGAAGAGCCCAGCACAGGCCGGGCACAGGGCTGAGCAGAATGGTATGGCGCTGGCCACTGCCTGGACCCAAGGCGGGTGTGAGCTGGTGTTGTTGGTTAGACTCACCCGGAGAGAGCTGGACATCACCGAGTGCAGCAGCAGCAGGCGGTCCAGTGTGCCCTCACCCTGCTCCCGGCAGTACAGGCCATACCGCTGGTCCAGGGGCTCCGGCACCGGGATGCCACCTTCTGTGGGAACCAGAGAAAGCGGACATTAGAATGGGCAAATCATCCATCACTTGTTAACATGACAGTATCATTCTAATAATTCTATTTAAAAATGGGAAAAGGATCTGAATACACATTTCTCCAAAGAACACACAAATAGCCAACAAGCACATGAAAAAATGCTCAGCATCATTAATCATCACGGAAATGCAAATCAAAACCACAATGAGGTATTATCTCACCCCAGTTAGAATGGCTATCATCAGAAAGGTAAAAAAAAGGGCTAGCCCAGGGCCGGCCCGGTGGCGCACTGGATAGTGCCCTGCTTGGGAAGCGCGGCGGCGCTCCC